CACAGATGATTACAGTATGTTTCTCTATCAGTTGCTCATTAAGTAAATATCTCAAAACCTTGTCAGTCTTATTGATAGTTTAGCGACACAATCATGCATGCAAATAATCAGTATAAGCAGTCGAGCAAATCTCCTGCAAACTGAAAACATCAATGTCGAATTTACCCCAACACTGACTAAGGTTCAAGCCATTATCATAGACACGAGTTGGGAGTGTACTCCCCCTGGTTACAACTTATGTTCTCCCTGATAATCACATGAGCATCACTCACTATTAATCATCTTGTAAAAACTTATTTAGCTAAATACATCTTGCAGCACCACATCACTTCGTAATATGACACAGGCCTAACTGATTTTAATAACTTATAACCACTATATCTCGATTATATCGTATTCCGCCTTATGATAAACTGCATACTTGCAACTAACTTGTATGCCCAATCAGCCGGCAAGTATAAATACAAATAAATAGTCTGCCACAGATCAGAACATTGAGTCTAGAGCATGTCTCTTACGAATACACTCATGTTTAACGATTTGTTCCTAGCTATCTGTCCAAAATTCATATAATCATCACTCACGTATTTAAATTTTGTTTTAATAACCATTCATGTGTATTAGTAGTATTACCAAATTCTATCACGGTCAAGTAAAAATGAGGTTGAGAAAATCTCCCCGTAACTAAATAAACCGTATCAAACTAACTGGAACACTAGTTGGAATTCTTCTCCACGGTATACTTTTGTTCCTTCAGTTAGCCTACTAATACAGATGCAATTGGAATTCAACTCATATGGACAACTTACCGGCATAATCGTTATTTGATTTCATAATTTAAACCAAAACTAATACCAATATTAGCATTTCTACAATATTCATCACTAATATTTCTAAACACAAAATACATACTACCTATGAGTTAAGTTATTAACCAACGGCTATTAACACGCATCGTTTTATTATTATTATTGTAATCCCATTTTTTATAGTTCAAATAATCTTCACTCAAATTTTCATCTCAAGCGTTTTAAGCATAAAGGCAGATATTTTAAAATTATTACATGTATTTCCCGACCAGATGCTGCCGCCATCTTTTTGATTTATCTTTCAGCTTATCATTACCCGGGGGATTCTTCCTAGTCTTGGTAACCTTCGGCGCACGACGATCCCATCCAATTCGGTATCGAACCAACATCACGTTGATTCTGGTGAGAGAGTAGTGTAGTGGCATTGAACAATAACCGCACAATCCACAAAGCTGAACACGAGACTACTCAGAAAATAGATATTCAATATTTAACGCGGATAAATACCTAACAATGGAGAAGGCGCGGAGAATGAATTGAATGGACTGGAGTTGATCGAGTGGCATGGCTCGACCATGCAGGCGTGGTCCATCTCAATGTTACTTTATATCTTCTATTCATATTAAATATATTGTTCTTTCTCTAGCCTAACCTTGTTCTACATCATGTATTGGTAATTGATACGATACAGTGAGTTGGTGTAGTCGATGGTGTGACTTCCACGTAAGATCTTATAGATTAGGCAGTTATACCATGACAAATCTACAAATTTAGGATTAGGTCTATTATTAGAGCAGTACTAATATCATAGTAGACCATAATTCTACATACACATAGAGGAATCAAGAGGGACAAGTTACAAGTATACATACATACACAAAATCTTCAAAATGGCTGCTAAACTACCATATTCTCTAGAAAATCGAAGACTACTTAACACTGATGTTCTTTAGATCTAAAAATGCAAACCCTAATTAACTGATATCTTGATTGTCTGAACAGAATTCACTAGCGAACAAACAAAAATATAATATCTATAGGTTTTGTAAATGAAACAATGCAAATGGTGTACAGTATTGATCCCCAGATATCGACATATTTTGTGAGTAATTATTGTTACTAGAGAAACACAGAGTGTCTAACGTCGTACGGAATATTTCCAGAGACATCACACATTCTACTGACTGTTCATACATTTATCAGATTAAGGTTGTGGAGATTATCAAGTTTTTGATTCAGATCAGGAACCTATCGACGTAAGACAACCATCCAAAATATGGGAGCACTGGTAGTCCGTTTTGCTCTATTGTGGGACGCATCCACGATCCCGCTCGCGGGATTCGAACCTGAGGCCTTCAGTCTCGCGCGCGAATACTTAACCTCCAAACCACTAAGTTGGCATCCATATGGATTTGGGACTTTTGTTATGGTTGAATGTTGAGAAGTGATCGACAAGTTATATTTGAGGAAACGATCGAATTGGGAATCCCAGTGCATTATACACTTCACCGTCGGTAGTGTACTATATGGTGCCGGAGGTTTCTCGTTCTGTTACCAACTGGAAGCTTAGAAAGTCAATTCATCCGTGGGCCTCTTTCTTGAATACTGGGTAGCCTGACTACAGATTTCTTCAACACCGTTCTCAATGTTTGCTAATATCTAACCTGGAGGTTCAAAATTGTATCAAGTTTTCTTACTTTAAAAAAAATGCTGGTTTTTCGAAAGATGTTTAAATGAGAACAAATCGTAAAGCGCTTAGACTAAGAATAAAGCCCTTATAATTTTCCCTACAATACGCAAGTTTGCAACCATTGCCAAATAATTGTTGGCAGGATATGGCTTTGATGTATCGAGTCGTCCGTAATCCTAAGCACCTTGATAAAGTTGTGGTACGTTACGTCAATAAAGTGCACTCAGATCGGAACGTTTTTAAACATTCATATTTCTTCAGTAAGTTATGGGAATTCATACTGATGAGATTGATGAAAGCATCTCCAACTGAATCTTCCAGAAGTAAGCTCAAAGTACTTCTAGTTCTCTGGTCACTGAAAGAGAATTATATTGTTTTTATTTTACTGAATTTACTAACGTTAACAAGTCATTTTTAACCTTCTAGTTTAGCAGGAAACATAACAAAACAATAACGTTTCTATAGTCAACAACCCGCAGACTTGGCGTCCAAAGGAAAAATTGTTTTTTTTAATTTGGCCAATCAAGGTTAGATTTTTCACAGTTTAGCTAGAGCGTACGGTAGCACAAGATTTATGACCTTGTACACAGAGCGTCTCTTGATTTGAGTTTTCGGAAGACATCATTTCCTGTGCCAGCTGTTTTGTTGTATATCCATTTACTTCACTTCATTTCTTCAAATATTTTGTATTACTATTCTTATAATATCTTCGACAAAAACAATTAGGATGTTAATATATTGCTTTATAAGTGTATATGCTTAAATTTAATGAGTTAAGACTTTAAAATAATTATTAATTTGTTCTAACTCAAAATTGATAATAAAAGGTTAATTGAGTTTTATTGGAAAAATTTATACAAAGAGAATATTCATTACCTGATTAATTTCCATCCTTAAAATGTATGAAACATGTTAACATATGTTAATGTCGAAAATCCATGAATAACATAATCACAATTACGCTAAATTAACAATTGTGTGCTCCGGTTTTGAGCATTAGTTCCTTTCTCTCAATCTGCTAATTCGTATTAGATCGGAGACCAGAGTTTCTGGTGTTTTGTCATATGCATTTCATTTTCCTGTTACCTCGTTTGTTGTAGAGTGACGCTCTAATCAATAGATTGAAAATCACTTTCTAGTTTTGCACGTTCTTTCCCAGCATTCCTTTCTCAGTAGTCGCAATATGCACAAAAAGTGCATCTATATATTAATACTTGAGCATATATTTGTCATTGAGATGCAAAAAATCTTATCGTGCTGGTAATCACTTTGACCAAACTCTTAGTTCTGAATTTTGTTCTTACCTTATGATAAACATAGAATTGTATGGCGGTACTTGGATAAATGCATGTATTCGTAGAACGGGCATATTTTGTAGTTAAAAAATTTAAAATTTGAACTAACAGATACTAAAGACAGTCTACCTAAGTGCAAGTACCATTTCATAAGACGAGAAGTTTTATGGTGTAAAATGTCGTACCAAAGTCCAAAGCTGGACTAAAAGCTTACTGATCCCGGACTTATGGTTGCTTCGAGATCCATATTTTTTCGAAGCCTAATTTTGAATCAATCGAAATACTGCAATCCAAATATCTACTATTATCAACCATCTGAAATACCAGTGAAAGTTGTTTTTTAAGTGTATAAGAGAGTTAGTTATAATATCATTCTCATTAACTAGTTTACTGTGATAATCTTCCGCATGTTCTTTGGGTATACTTCATGAACTTTATTGAAAAATCGCTCGCAGACTACACATCACTGTGTGACGATTCAAAAAGTGGATTTATAACTTCACTCGAAAATTCTTTACTTTTAGCACAGAGTAGACTTAAACATGCATTGCCAATAAATTTATTTAATCCAAGAACCGCTTGTCACAAGTTATTCCCTACTGTGCTTTGTACACCTTTAAAGAAAAATACTGGTTCAAGAATTCGTATTCGTAAATGAAATACTGCACTGTATTTCTCAAATTGGACGCCGGTTGACATTACGCATTTTAATCTGATTCATTTTGTCAGATAGTTATCATAAACCAGTGTAATAAAACGCTTTTCTGTGTTTGTGTAATTATGGTTGACTTATCAGACCCAGGAAATTCTATATAAGAAAGCTGAGAAACACGAAAGCCACCGTGTAAAAATCGTCTGGTTATTGCTATTCATATGATCAAAAAAGTTGAACACGGTAGATTGGTACAAGGAAAATATTTCTTTGACTATTCACAAGCATGCTAAATGCTGATTAATGACTTCTCTGGTCCGTTCAAATTCGTAAATCAGGATGTTTGCCAATGAGTATTGAAAGCCACTTGAACCATTGTTTGTTTATTTCGAAACCATTAATTACCGCTTCAGCTGGTCTTCTTCTCTCATTGTTTCTTTCGCTAAATTATGCTGTAAATCATTTTGCTCTGTGTTTATTGGTTTTTAGTCTATGATTTCCGTTAATTATTGATATCTCGCCCTATAATTCGAATATATGCGTGACTTATCATAATGAACAGCTTTCTGTCCACTTATATATATGCCTTTATGCTGTGGATTTATTCTGTGAGGTCGAAGACAATCAAAAGTAAGTTTATGTTATGCCTACTGATTACTTTAGATGAAACTTTAAATGCATCTTTACTAAAAGAGATAACAAAGTGATGAGTGGATATTTTATTCATTTAACTGAAAAAACTATCTGCTCCGCAAAGTGATAGATCAAGATGCATTTGCTGATCTGACAGATAATCATTGTGCAGAACCCACACAAATTATGTATATATCATAAACGTAAAGTATTACAAAATATTTAATACTCCTAGCAAGGGAGTTTTTAGTTTATCTGCCTACTGGGAATGAGTTCTAGTTGAGGATCCGAAAAATTTCACCAAACCAAATTAAGGATTATGCCTATATTTATTATCTTGGCTCCTTTTTTTCTCGGAGCTTCATTTTTAGAAATAGTGGGAGATTCATACACTACAAATTAGATAAGGTTTGCAGTTTCAAATTTAGGAAGCTGTTAGTTTATGAAACGGAGTTTCGCTTTGAGAAACCTTAGTTCAAGATATTAGTTTAGACTAAATCATCATTATTCTGTGAATGCATCAACAAACATACCGTAATGCGCTATCGCTGAGTATTTAAGGTTTTACAGCTTTCATCGTTATTTGGTTTCGTATAAGTTTCTAAGAGGACGCTAAACTACAGCGCTGTTGCTAACATAAGATTCATAGTGATCAAGCACATCAATCTATTTTCCTGTAATGAAATCTAAAATATACAGTTATACACCAAAAGTTTTTAATATGTCTGATTTCATGAGAGAAATATGTTTGCTATTATAAATTCATTTAAGTATAAGATTGACCAGTTATTCAAAATCACATGATAACTTTTCCGATCGTTTAATTTGCTTTACAAAAAGCATCAAGTATGGTGTTTATTTGTCTTAATTTATATGAACGGCAAAATCATGTTGACAAATATGTTGATGTAGTCAAGTTCTGCCATATGGCAATGTTCATTCATTACCAGTGGTTCATAATTACCTTACTTGATACAAGTCAGTTAGTTACTTATTAAGCGAAACAATTTTTAGTGAAGATATCTAGTTGGTTTGATGCCTGTAACTTCTACATCTAACTGATGGACCTAGAATTTTCTATCGATAACGTTTATATATCACAATTCTTCTGTGTACTGACCCAAGAATTTAAGGTTTAAATGTAAATTTACCACACCTATGTTGTACAAAACAGTAATTAATGTAAGTAGTGCATATGAGCTCCATATTTAAGTATCGGTTAGGAATTTTCTCGCCTAAAGGTTCATAAAAATATGATTCATTTATGACTTATTGTTTGTCAGTTGACACTATCAAGTTGTTTGAAGAATTTTTACCACACATCTAGTAATTATGAAGAAATATTTTTAATTTTGTACGTACAATCATATTTTTGTAAATATTATGGAATCGAAGAAAATTATAATTTTCCGTTGGACCTTGATGAAGTAACTTATCTCGAAAATTCACATCACTGCTGCTCATTTATTAGATGGAATTTATTTCCGTAGAATATATACAAAGTCAAATAAAGAACCCTAAAACTATTCAACGTTTACCATAAATTCCAAGAGTAGTGCTTTTAAAAATCTACTTTAAGTTGTTTTTTTTCTAAACAGTTGACACACAGGATTGTTTTGGATTGCCAGAAAATCCATTCATTATCTTTGGTGCAGTGGTTTCACATACACGCGCAATCGGCAGAACTCTGTGTTATTTCCAACCGTCAGAACAAAATCAGTATTTGAGTATTTATCCTACGAAATTAGTATTACCTAGCCAATTTGGAACGTGTCCAGTTATACAGATCAAAGAATTCACATCTGTTAGAGATGAACTAATTGATAATAGTGACGTAAATATGATTATACCAATGAAAGTCCCTGATGATACTAAGTTAATTGTAAGTGTTTATTCTGGTAACAAAAATAGTTTTACAGGTCTTATATTCTTGTTTATTGGTCATGTTTCAGGGTAATTTCATTTCAAAACATACCTTAATATATGATGTTTGTTTAAAAGACAGATAATTGATTAAGGAAGTTTTGCCAAAAACGCTCATTTGTTTCACAAATGTAAACTGAATTTCCAAGTTTCATTATAAATTATGTAGTGATATCTACCCTTTAACGAAATTCCAGTCGATTCAGTAATCCAACTGAGGACCTTACAGTTTTATCCTCAAGAAAATATGTCTATTTTCTACAAGATTTATAATCAAGTACAACAAAAGCAACGCATAGATCTATATGAAACATTTTCTGACAGTCTATAGAAGCATATTTAATTAAGGTATTATAAATCTGAATAAAAATAAGTATGAAAGCTTCCGCTTTGATTCTACATCTTACCCTTGCGAATTCTACAGTAAAGATACCATAGAAAAACAGTCTACATTCTATCTTATTCAGAGCTCACACAACAATAATTTATGATTCAATTCTTAACTGGTCTACTTGGTTAATCGGTTGAACATAAGACTATCCCTTCAATCCATAATCTGTGAATAAGCACTCTGTGACTCTACTCTAAAAATACTAAATACTGATAGCTTAGTGTTGATCAAACTTGATAAAAGTTATGGTGTTGATCTAACGAATAGATCTAAATACATAGAGAAATTTGTTTTGAGTTCGAAGAATTAATACGAATCCTATACTGCGATTCAAAGTAATAACTATACTGCGACATCAAAGAGCCGTATGAATAGATAAAACTGAAGAAGTACATATACAGAGAAGTAATTGATCTTGCTTTATCAGGTAATTTGTAGGGTTTGGAAGCAATGGGTACTGAACTCGAGCTTTAATGTGAATATTAACACTGAGGCGAAGGTACAGACAACCGACGAATTTCAAAGAAGATGAAAAATACTTATTTCCCATGGCAAGCCAAAACTCAAAATGTAATCATACCATCTATAGCCTAGATTACTTATCTAATATTGAATATCTATTTGGCAGTGCCTTGACCAAATACTTTCCCTTCTTTTTCTGTGTGTTTGTGTGTATTTAGTTCCAAGCCAACTGTACGAATTATCCTTCTATGCTAGATAAAGTCGTGCATACATCATCATCAAATCTAAAAATACAAATTTTATTTGACCCAGCTAATTCTGCTGCATCAGATGTTGCCTATCAATTTGTAATATCATCATACGGTAATTTAAACTATTTCGTTATCTATTTACATAATAGAGTTTGTGAATCAATCATTAATTAGAGAGATAGCTTCGACTAATTCTAAAATAACTTATCTAAGCATTTCATTCTTTATCTTCTAAGTATAAATAGGTAAAAACTCTTCTAATGCAACTCGATACTACGCATATACCTTATACCCCATCATTGGTTTTCTTCACTCAGTCAGTCATAAGTAACTTAAAACACGGAAGGCATGTTAATCATGTTCAATTCGCTACGTCATGTAATCACGACAAGATAAAATCATTAAAATGAATATGAAAGTAGTAGAAGCATTTGTAGTGTCGATTGTATTAAAAATTATTATTGAGAATACTAATCGAGAAGAGAGAATGAATTCTCAGAATGAAAAGTAGAAAGAAATTTTAAGCTCACAATTTAGAAGACTGATGGTAAATTTATCCACTTAGCTTTATCCAATAAATAATTAATTGCATCTTTCTGTATTTTATTTGTGAAATGGTTAAAATAATCATACTCTTTCATGCTTAGAAAATAAACATGTTTTTAGATTTATCAAAACAAATCGTAAATATAAAATGAGTGTGCTACAACGTGATTATTGAACTGATGAAGTTATAGGATAAGTTAAAGTCTAATTGTTATTTGTCAGGTTTATCAGTATGACAGTATATGCACTTTCCAGTCAGCTTGAAAGGACAACAAATAAGGAAAAAATTATATAGATTGTTATTTGTGGAAGTGTTTGTTTTTACCGACGCTTTAACACCAACCTGGACATCATCATCACATCTTTACGAAAATGTTTGAATATTTAACTTATATACAAACCAAAAAGTTGTATAATTCGATTTACGGTTATTTCGCTAACCACTTTTATTTAAAAGAATTGAACTTGCTTTATTTCAGACAAGGTACTTCTCACGCGATTCGAATCAGGGAATCAAGCTTCTGATTTTTTTCAAGTAAATAGTAAACATTGAACCCTTTTAAGAGGTAATCAGTTCCATGGACTTGATTTTCCGGTCGTCAATAATCAGGACCATATTACTCAGTTTGTTTCAGGACTTATAGATTTTGATAAATACCCTCACGTTACCTTCATTCACATCTCGGTTAGATTTTGGATAGTAGTTAGCAATGGAATTTATGATAACCGCCCCGTGTTTTGTTATTTTCGATACAGGGTTGGAGACTCATTGGAACCATGAACTTCGGGTGCATATTTATTTAGCTGTTGATTCCTAAATAAAACAGATCATCTATCTATAACTTCAATGTTAAACACTGTTCTACATTTAATGTTTACCACCTAATATTATGGGAATATTCGATTATCAAATAAATAGTAAAAAAGTGAAAAAATTTCCGTAATTTCTGGGGTTTTTTTAATAGGAAGTTTGACTTTTAAAGACGAGTCACCAACCTTGTATGTTTAAAATTATTAGTCTCTTTCAACAAATAAATGTAAATCACATAGTCCTGTCTTTTTTAAGCCACTATCAACAAATCTACCAACTCCATTACTGTATTCACCGCACTATCAATAGGCTATTTCAATTTTTTCTCACACTTTCGATCAGCATATCAGGAAGTCAGATAGCTAGGTCATAAGCATTTTTATCATTTGAATAAGCAACATAAAATGCAAAGTCACAGCACACTTTGATTTATGAATCTTTGTAGTTGCATAACTAAGATCTGTGTACTGGTATAGCCCTGTTAATATATCGCGCGATACGATTGCTCATTAGAGTCACAAACCTACTGACCGGACCAATGACGCCTAAGTCAGCAGGAGCAGCCGAGAGTCACCTCTGAGTTCTTATTGGTTCTTGGGGTAGTAGCTTTTCGTTTAACCCAGTTTAGAACACAAATCTCAGCCTCCGTTCCATCGAACCACATATATTTCAAACATACTTGGTTTATATACAAGTAAATCAGACCACAGCACACCGTAAAATAGAAAATAACATTTGTACAAGAACAAAAAGTGGCTGTGATTGTGAGAAACTGTGACTAATAGATTGAAAAGAACTTGAGAACAGTAAATCGTATAACAGTAACTAATATGTCAAATAAAAGCTTATGATAAAATGAATATAATTATGGACATAATATAGTTACTTAATAGGTTATACAATAAGAAAATATGTTAATATTAGTCCATAAATAATTCCTAACGGTTGCCATTCATTTATTCTCGTCCGCATATAACAAAATATTCATTAAAATTATTTTTAAACTAATTGCGCATCACTATTTTATTATCGATTTTCGACACAAAAATCCTAAACAAAATTTATTTAACTTTTAGCAATTTTTAAAAGAAAAACATCTTATTTCATAGGTCGCTACTATGATTCATTTCGTCTGGTTGTTATAAAAAAAAACGTGGATCATCTGACTTGGATAAATTTTTTAAATATTCTGATCACTAAAACATGAACTTTTTAATGAGAAGCATATGAACTTCCAGACACTTTTTATCATATTAATAAGAGTCTTATTTCGTAAATTTCATAAATCTTCTTCGTGCGTACAATAGTACGCACATATTACATGAATCATTCTACTACAACATTAGATGAATAATTTACACTTACATGATTCAATCAGCGTTATAACGAAATGAGAACTGTATATTAAATTTGTAATTAAATTTTTAAAACACCCTACAAGTAAATATCATATTTTATTATAGACTACACATGATAAAATTATGTGTAATTACGTTTGTACAGTTTAAAAAATGCTATTGTCTGAAAGAACATTTCCTTTACTGAAACGTCTACATTCTTTTTATTGTTTCATTGAATTCATTAACCGATCAGTGCTAGGTAACCACTGAAAATCTAGAAGCACTAGATGGCCGTTTTATCTTAGTAAGGGACTCCTCAGCAGTATGAATCCACAAACATGCATGCGGTATTCGAACCCAGGACCTTTAGTTTTGTTCGAATCATTTAATTGTTCTTAGCTTAGATGGTGTAAGTAAAGAACGTCTCATTGATAACTCTCTTAAAAAGGGGTAGTTTTCACCTATTGTTGATTGGGTTAATTTGTTTTCAGGCAAACTAGTATCTATGATCACTATAAAATTGTACTTATTTAGAATGAACTTCCCAATTTCACAAGATTCGTTTGCATGAAGTTTATTCTCCATTGAAAACTTGTACTACACCATTTCGGCATTATGCATATTTTATCTGTGCAACAGTTGACAATTGAGTAGTTTTAGATCTCCCCTATTTCTATCTCATTTATATTTCTGGTGACTCAGTTGATATTTAAGTAATATTTAAATTTCTTCTTAACGGGAGAATCAAGAAGTAACTACACAACTGAAAAAACTGAGTTCAGTGTCTGAATGACTGGTGATAATGAAAATTACTATTTTTTATTGAAATATTTGTTCTACAGTGTTATATCCGAGCGAAGATTAAATCACGAATAACTTCTGAGAATTATTAATGGACTAATATTATTTATATATTCTTATGGTATAACTATTCAATAATTAGATTATGTATATTTATATTCCTCTTATTGTAAGCTTTATTTTGACCTGTGATTTATTATTGTACGATTTACTGTTCTTAAGCTATGTTCGGTTTATTGACTACTGCCTCCCACGTTCACAGCCATTTTTTGGCTTTATTGTGTATGAATGTTATTTCCTATTTTATGGTGCGTTGCGGTCTGTTTGGTTGATATATAAACCCAGCATGTCTGAAATAAATGATTCGATTCGCATAGCGGGAGCTGGTATTGGTGTTCTGGACTCAAGTGGACGGGCTAGGCGGACATAGGACCAATAAAGACGCTGGGCTGCCCATACCGGTCGAACGTCATTGGTTTGGCACAGTGCTAAGATTGTATAAGTCGTATTTTGATTGGTGGATTAATCACGTGATAAGAGGCCGGACCAAAAGTCACAACATACGGTATTATTTCTTGCAATCTTTTTCATTTAATTCTAGTAATTATTATCAGTCTTTCATTCACAGTTTAATAATACTCCTTAGTAGGTTTGTCAAATCCTAAAACCTCTCTGTTATTAATGCATAAAAGTTCGAGTTTCGAAAATTAAGATATTTTAACCATATGACAATATATTCTTTGATATTAGTTGATAATGGTTATAAAAAATTGTATTTGAAGTAATCGTTTGTACAAGCACATTCAAATGTTGCTTTTGAGTAGAGTAATACTATTAAACATAATGGATCAAATGAATTCTTTGTACTGGTAAACAATGTTTATATCTCTAGTTCATTTTAAGTGACATCACAACGCACTTTCATGCTATTTACTATCACTACTTGCGTCTATGTGATTTCATTATATGTACTATTGCTTTGATAATAAGCAAAACGATTATATCGACATCCAATTGATTTCCTAAATTCTTAATTATAATAATTTACTGGCGTATTTGTTTATTTCGATTAGAACCATCCAATGAAAATGAGGCATTATCCATAGAACTTAACCGATCAAAAAAAGGAGGGATATTAGGGAAATATAGACTACATGAATTGGTCTGGATCACATAATAAGAAAGTTAGATCGAACCAATCATATGAGTAAATTTCGAAAAAATAGAAAGGGTAGAAATTTATAAATTTCACTCCCCAGCACCCCATTCCGTACGAAACTTGTCAGCCTTCACCCGGAAAAATGAATCTTGTTGAAAATTCGTTTTCAGTTACGTTTTATTTGTCTCAAGTTTATAGACCTTAACTAGAGTATGAAGTTCAACAATGTCGACTGTGAGGTAGTTACCCACTGAAGACAATGGAAGATGATTGCTCAATATCTTGAATTGGTGGTTTAACATTGATGGATTCATAATCTCAATTAAAACTCCATCTCCACAATCCTATACTGATAAATACTGAATAGAAGTTTAATAAATCCACCTATATTTTCTCTTTTTGATCAGAATAAAACTATAACTTAATAATTGCTTGAATAATGCCTGACGTATTATTGCATTCAAGTAGTATGGTAGCCGTGTAATGATTTCAGTCTGAAATCTAGTATATTTTCACGCAACCAAATGTTTTTGTCATAAAAGGTAAATTGCTAACTTATATATTAATCATGATGGGTTTTTTTCAAAAGTATATGATGGGATTCAACCGGTTATCCACAAAAACGGATGAAATTAATTGCTTCTATTCGACCAATAGGAACTGCCAGTCCCGTGTATAAAATTAAAAGCAGTGCATTCAGTTGTCACTATAACGACATCATATAACTTGTCCCACTGACAAAAAATTACATAATTAAATACATTTTTCCATTGACTTTTTACATCAGCAGGAAGTTCATCTCACAGGATAATTTACTACTTATCAGTTATTGTTATATAAATTTTATTATTAATCGCTTCGTTAACTTCTTATAATTGACATGAATTAACAGTTTTAGGACCATCATATAACTGTCCATCAGATACATTTCGTTGTTGGGATGCGGCTACTAATTGCGTACCCGATTCTCTAACATGTGACACAATTGCAAATTGTCATGATGGATCCGATGAAAATGGTTATTTGTGTAAGTGTAGTATAGTAGTGAATATTTCTCTCATCTTTTTACTAGTATAGTTTACTTAATAAAATTCGTAATGATGTTATGAAAAAACCCATAATTCTAATCAGTATTTTTTAGTGTTGGATGGATTATAGTCAGTTTGTAAAATAAAAATATGTTCGAATCAAGTTATTCTATGAATATTTAAAGATTAATTTCGATGGGTCTTCATCAAAAAGGTACTCACATTATTGATTATATGAGTGGGAAATATTAAGAATTTGCCAACTGAATTAATCAAGTGCTACTTTACGCATTTATGACTCTCACATCACTTCTGACTTAAAGATTATGTCATCAACTAGTGGAATGTTTTAAATGTTAAACTGTGTACTCGTGGAGAAAAATCGTTCGACTGCTAATAAATATATTCTTCTAATATTCAGATTAGCTTTAACGAAATGTTGAAGTTGATCTTTGTTAATTGAAGTTTGTCAATTATTGATTGCCGTGAATACCTTGGTATATATTATTTGGTGTTGAATGAATGTTAATGAGCAAATGATGTTTTTCAAGCCGTTCAAATAAATATCCCCTTCATTTTGATCGGACTTCAACCTTCTTACCTCTTAACTAATTGGTATAATGATTGCCACTGATCCAGATCCATTAAAAACAATGTATACAGCTCTTAAATTATGTAAATCTGATCATAATTGTGTAGTTTATTAACATTTCACGTTTATGTCCAAGATCGATCATTTCTTTCTGTATTTCATTCACAGAATTGGAAACTACTCAGCTTGGTAGGATTTGGCTAGGTGTGTAGTTTTATTGGATATTCTTCCAATTCGAAACGAGTTCCATAAATAATTCCCTGCGCAATGGAAGAGAAAAACGTCTCGTAAGGAAGATTTGTTTTGGTAAAGACTCCAGAAGATTTAAATCAAAACCAAGTTTATACTGATCCAACTTAGTGGTTATTAATCATAGAAATTATCAAGCTGAACAACCATTACTTGAACGCGAAATACCATTGAATATTATACTTAATAAAGCTAAAGTGAACGAAAAATCATAATGTATCAGTTAATAAAAATTGTTATGTTGGGTAGAAGTTTACGTTGAATCAATTCAAGGTCAAATGAATAGAAATCCTACTTAAAATTAATACATAATCTTTCCCTTAATTAGTGGCTAATAGATTATATTGAGATTTAAGATCCACAATATGACTATAAGAAAAGTTAGTGATTAGACGAATCTTTGAATTTTTTTCCATTCAACATAGGTACTGGAAGAATCAACGGTATCCCTATTCCATTATTTGCAATTATTATAACTAGTAAGTAACGGGTTGAAATTAAAATAAATAATTAAACATAGTATTCTGACATTCAATAATTCTGTCTGTTTGTTTTATACCTTCTTTATTTGGATAAAAAAGCTACAACTGACAGTAAAAAGGACAGTACAAATTAGATTTCAACTCCTGATATGATAAGTTTGTGTTGTAATAAACAATAATTCAGTCCAGGAAACTATAATTGAAATACTAACTTCGTTACAATAAGACCGTAATGTACCGTATATATATATATATATATATATATATATATATATATATATATATATATATATATATCATTCGTTTGATGGTTACATAATGACTTATTCAGCTCATTGATAACTGAATCTGTTAAACATTCACGTAACATTTCAAGATATAGCTGTATCAACTTACTCATACTTTAAAATTTAGAAAACCCCCATATCGTGAATCAGAATAACATTCATATTATTCAGACTTTTTCAAATTCCTATTAGTTTACGTATAACAGAGAAATCCTATTTAAAGTATATTCATTTAATTACGTACAGTAGTAATATATACTGCTATATATCATGATATTTTGAACACTAATCAATCTTTGTTCAAACTTCGTTTCATGTACCCTATTTCTAGTTTCTATTGTAAATTATTCTGAATGCAATCCTACAAGAAAGTGGGTGTTTTGCAATCACCAGGACACTACTACAACTAGTATCCAGTTGTTATCATTAGCATAACTTAAGAAAACCACTGTGTGGGACATAAATTTTTAAATAGAGTATCAATTCTCAGGGATTTGTGGGTCCAGTATATAGATATTACTGAATTGCCACATAGTCTACAATAATAATTCAGTACTTATCTTCGTTCCAAAGGATACATCATTGTTATTGTTATCTCAGTTATGAGGTACTGTAACAAAGAATACTAATGAAGTACCTAATAAAATAAATTAACTAGTATTTAATACCGCTATATTTGTTATTCTCACAATCCAAGTCACTTTCTATGGGGATATGCAATGTATTATTGTTTACTTCAGTTAACTGAGTTTAAATTCTATGTTTTAAAACAATTTATTTTACCGATCACCCTACTGATTTATAGTAAATATCATGTTCTCTTCTGTATTATTCTAGTATCAATTTTTGGACTTATTCTTTTGGTTTTAACTATTGTATTTGTTATTCGCAAACAAAGGAAGCATAAGCGCAAAACAGAGCAAACGTAAGTTATGACGATTACACCATGTATGTTTCCGTAGTAAACATTTTATATCCTTTGTTTGATCAGCAGTATTTTATTTGTCTTAAAAATAACGTCAGCTGTATTATTATTTTAAACTGATTTTTTGAAGCTGTAGCCGATAACATTTTCCAGCTGAATAATGAAAGTATCTTTCATCATTATAAGACGGTGAAACGTTCGAGAACTTATCGACTTCTAAGTGCTTTTAATCTATTTCTAACACAAAAATGATTCATGGAATAGGCTCTATTTTTCATCAATGTTATTCTGTACTATACAGTTTCATGAAGTCTAAAAGGATGAATAGTTAAATTAACTTCACAAAAACTCCGTGTTTAATAAACTTCAGGAAATAATGGGTGTTTGTATATTAAGAAAGAAATTCCTATTCAGGATTGTAAACATCATGATGTAAGTGGTGATCTAGAAAATCTTTCGAGTTTTGTTTAGAATAAAATATATTGAGTATTCACTTACACATCCGATAAAAATTCATTTGATAGCTGCGTAATATCTGATAACTGTCTTAACTTTCGAATATTCAGTATCTTGTCATTGAAAACAATACCATTTAACCATTGAGTCAGAATCTAACAGTTAATATTTTCAAATTCAGTAGTGTTGTTATATAGCGCCAACGTTCATCTATTATCACAAGTGAGAAAACTCGCTTGAGAATGAAGACATTCGTTGCTCTTTAGTTCCCAAGCTTCTTTAGCTTTAGTGTACAAGTATATGAAAAGTGACAAGGCATCTTTTTTGCATAAAGCCGATTTCCTAGAATACAATATTTGCAAATGCCATTTCTCTTGTCAATAAAAATGGTTGAAACCAACTAGGGTCAACAGGTAGGTGTCAGCTGCCACGATAACAAACCAATAAGAGAAGCTATGCAAATGTGTAATTGCACCGTTTTAATAGTATTTCCCGATTACTATTCACAAAAGTTGGGGACAGGTTAAATTGTGCAGTGAGAGATTGATACATTGACTTAAAGAGTTTACACTGTATAAACATGTGCAGCCAACGTATATTTGAACAAATGAAATCTTATCAGTAATTGGGTCCTATGAGCATCATATTTTTCTCACGAAAATATCCTTAAAACAATACAAGGTGCATCGTTTTGCAAAGATAATAATGCTATTTTCCGAACAAATTTATGGATTTAATGATCTATGCAATGGTCGCCCATAACTAGTAAGAATCATGATTAGGATTAATGATACTGAGAAACTTGAGTTCGTTCTCTAGCTAAAACAGATAAAATATTCACATTCTAATTATGTTGGAATTATTTCCTCATATAAAATAACCACATTTACTTCGCATTAAAATTACCCTTGGCAATACCTTTCGCTCTACAAAACAATGTTCCAGATAAGGCTGATGCTGGAAATTCTCATTTTTCGACTTTTTGCTGTGAACCATGGAAGAACAGATTGAAGAGACTTGCTAAGTTTGTTTGCAGCGTATTTTATTTCGTAGATGCGGTTAGCCAGAGCTACAGGTTGTTCGAAGTACTAACTTGTATGACCAGTAGTTTGTACTACACAGCAGAATACTACAATTTTTAACTTTGTTCCTTGTATCGAATAAGTCTGACTTTTTAGTATGATAGCTTCAAACGTGCATGAAAACAGACCTAAATACTACTATAATGTAAGATTTATCACCATTGCGAAACAAGTCAGTCAATACGTTTCTTTTATGAAACCAGTTCTCTAGTCTTTAGTGTAAATCTAGACAGACTGTGTAAAGATATTGACTACTCAAATACAATCTTCTTAACTTGTCAGTATAGGGTCGTGAAGATTTCTGGACTTCACTGAAATCACAAACCCATCTAAGTTAGATCACCACTGAAGCCCTGGACGGCCGTTTCATTCAAGCATGCGACTCTTGAGCAGTGGGTATGTAAGACCCCACAACCTGGAACCGAACCCAGGACCTTCAGCTCACTGAGCCCGGATCCAGTGGTGTGATAGCATAACTTCAACCAATTCATGACTTTGCGCGACCATCTCCCATTACCTTCGGCGGGTACCTTCTTTACACCCGACATAGCTTAGCTCCACATCCTCCTACTAAAACTCCGGTTATCCGCCGACACGAATATAAACCATTATGTCGAGAGTTGTAAACTACCTGATTCGGGATATCGTAAACAATGGCTAGACTTTGGATGATGCCTCAAAACCTTTCGTGATGGTACAGTTGTATTCACTCTTTGTCTTGTTACAGAACCTGAGTTCAGAGATCCCCTTATACTTTTCCCATCTTTTTATATACCTAATTTTTCTACTTCTTCGTGATTTGTCTTGATAATTTTATCCCGCTGTGTTGCTGTGATGATGGTAACTCAAAGCAATGGACATACATGCTAGATTCTAAGTTACATAAGACTAACTGACTTTTCAACATTTTCATATTAATTTTGATTTTAGGTGGATAGATATGACTACACAACCTTCAGCTAACGCACATCAATGTAAGTCCATTATATGTAATAATCCCAATCAACTATTGATTTACAGTGAAAGGTAATTTAGCAAAACCTGAAGAGCACCATTCTGAATAACAATCCGTCCATTAAGATGGACGGTGTGTAGATTTTCTGCAATCAGAATACTGTTTACAAGGGCTGACATCAGGAAACTGACAGAAGTTGGAAGTGTGTACTACTAAATCTCGACTGTGATCTACGACTCGAGTAGATAGACCCAAACCTCGGTTTTGAGTTCAGTCGGTAGCGGGATCTTGCGTACTGTCGTGCAGCGTTGTACGAAACAGCCTCCCAGTTATTGTGAGGCCAAAATAAATCCATATGATCTATTCTTAGACCTACTGCTTTTTAGAAGTTCATCATTCTAATGACTCAAGTTCGCCGATACCCAAGAGAAAAATAATCATATAGTTGTCATGTCTCTCACTAGCAAGGAGATTGCGCTGGATCGCTAATTTCCTAGAGACTAAGTACCCTTATCTGGATTCTCACAGTAGTCCTAGATACCTGCTACCAGTAATTTAATCTGCAGGTTTCTTAAGAATCATTTGGATTTATAGTTTGAAATGTAACTACTGAACAGTCTCCATAAATTTGACAAACGATCCTGGTGTCCTATCACATCTTTAACATTTTTGCAACACGTTCATGTTGTGCTATTACCTCGTTTTTTATAGCTCTGCTTACTGAGAGAACATGACAAACTGACCAAAAATTCGAAACGATTTGGACGCGAAGAGAAATCTGCGCAGTCACAATTCTGAGACAACAAGTAACTCGTACTTTTATATCGGTGTACATAACTCACTTTATTTCAAGAGAACACTACTTGTAATCAATATACATGTAAAAAAAAATGTCTATACTTGTAATATCGTTGGGTTTCTATAACTGATTTTATGTCTAATACTAAACGGTGGTAGTTTATCAGCTTTCATATGGTGGTAGACACGTCGACTGATATCTAGATACTAAATATAATTAACTTGTTCATCAGTTATGATACTTACCAGCTGCCCAAACCAAAGAAGGTAGAACAGAGCTGTGACTTAGGAACTCAGTAAAATGCCTTGACTACCAAACCAGCGCTCCATGTATTCATTTATTTAAGATTCCCAAGCTTTCCTGAGTTATTCATCGCTAAGCATTTACTTCCTTTTTATAAAAACAAACTACTCGCAATATATAGCAGACTTTGCATATCTACAGGTAAATATATTGCCTTTAAATATTACTATCCTACGTATGTTAAGCGCGATCTTAATACGTTGAAGGATTTTCGCAGTTTGCCAGTATCTGGCTGAAAATCTACTAAAAAAAATAGAACAACGTTTATGCCGTGTATAGATCTAGGCAACAGTAGTAAATCTGTTGTAAACCATTATCTGCCGGTATTTAAGTGTCTAGTTGAGGTCTCCTTGTTGTGTTTTATCAGCTGGTATAGAAGACTAGAAACGAGTCAAATAAGACCCAATATTTTCTTGTTTCAGGTTGTACTAGTGTATCTAAGCACCTCAGGTAGATCCTCTTAATTTAACGGCTACAAGCTTAATGGAATCAGCGTGTTGAAGATAAAATCATCCTTTGTTCACTAATTTTTGAATGTGATACTGCGTTAGGGTATTTACCACTTGAAGTACAAAAACGGGAATATTTTTATCAGATAAACTTCCGTTTATATAGAAAAGTAAAACATGAGTTAATAACTAGATTTTACAATTAAACATACGAACAAATGTCTGCATGACCAGTGCAATTAAGTACACAAACAAGGTTTCTGGTTAGAAGAAAATAAAGACATTTACTACACTATGTACATGAGTCCAAATATGATCACAAGCAAAGTATTTCACTTGTTAAAGCATGTTACTGTTGCAAATTCGCCAACATAGATTGAAACCTACTACGAAGAAGCATTGAAACGTCCAAGTAACGTTCTGTACAGTTTTCGATACAATTTGCTTTTTTCGCATCCATTTTCGAAGACGGGTATCCAACAGCACACTTATCCCAACACACAGAAGTCAGATGATTGACATGATTCTGAAACTCCGCTCTTTGTTGTATCGTTTGTATGAATGTCTGCAATTCCTTATCTACCCCATCCGATTCTCGTGAAGAAAGAGCAGATTCGTAGCTGAAAAGTTTCGTTTTATAACTTTTTTATCTGACTCAAACATGAATTGGATGCAATGCACTTTTTACAGAATATATAAATGTCAAGTACTAAGGTCAACATAAATCCTAACAATTCAATCTGTGGAATTATAGATTCAAGCAATAATTAGAACTTTCGATTAATAGGACACTAAATTTCGAATATGAACTGTTGCCAGCATTTTCTTGTACCTATACGAAAACCCATCCTTGATGGTTTTAGTAGAACAACTGTTTAAAGCAAAGATACGTCAGACATAATTAACCGAAGGAAGACTAAGACGCCCTAATACAAAGAGCACGAGACTAATAATTTGCGAGTCGAAAATTGGGCTGAAAGATTTATATATATACAGCATTCAATAGCGAGTACAAAAGACATACTGAATCACATCATAAAGATACTAGGTTTTCTTTAAAACCTTTATCTGCAACTTACAAGTGGCTTGTAAATAAGCACAAAAACAAAAATAGGAAATTTATATAACTTTATAGTTGGAAACAACCGTAGTCGAATCACGTAATATTTGTTGCAATTTTCTTATAAACTAGATAAACTTTGTCATGTCAACATAACTACTCAAAACGCATATATTTAATATGTATATTGTGACAATCAGAAAACCGAAGTCTAAGATTTCTTCCCATTAGTCGAGAGTTGAGAAGTGTTGTTTACATTAGGTATTGATTAGAGGGTAGGTGCAAAAGGAGATCCACCTCTAACCAAGAGTGAATAAAGCGAAATGTAGAGAGCGACACGACATAGGAATAAAGATCAGCTTCTACAAACTGCTTCTCTTCATCATCCCCTTGAAAGTGAACTATTTTAATAGTTCACTCTGATCCTATATATAGGGCGAAAAAAGATATCTTTCCTTCTGTTGACATATGTCAGTTTAGCAACAAAACCTAATTGGATTCTACAATATACATCAGTAGTGTACAAGAAGCTTATCAATCTTAACTAAGGAAAGAAAAACTCTATGCAGAAAAACCTACTCGAACGACATGTATGACAAGAGGGGAAAGAGGACTCAAGGTTACGATTGGAAACACTAAAACGAGCGGGTTATTGTTGTGGGTTAGTTTGGTCAGATGGTATTTTTTGTTCAGTCATAGCATGCAAAGTAGTGTGAGTGAAGAGAACTGAGAATAGAAGCTGAAAAATTGGAGACCTAGCAAGCTCGTATAATGCATTTACATTTAGTAAAGAAAGCAATAGACTGTAATCAGCAGTGAAAAAAGCCTGAGGATAAAACAGTCTCGAAGTCAAAACTAAAAGCAAATAGTTCAATCCGCTGCATTAATAGGCGTTAGATCTATTCACCACTCTTAGTTTGTGCTCATTACTTCCGATATGTTTTCATTTAGTTCTATCTGGATTATATTCAACAAATCGTGAAAACTAGAACGTGGTGCTGAATAACAAGGAAACTGACCTTCGAGAATTAGGAGGAAAAAATAATCACGATAATCTCTTGAGAAGATCCAACTCACTTTCGATTTGTCAACGGGTGGTGATATTACAGCGCTCCGGATGGTTTTGGATGGAATGGAAGGCATCAGCCACTCCTTAGACCAGTTTATCATATTATTTAAGTCCGCCTGAAGAGTAAACGCGTCTTTGTCTACAGTTACTACTCGCCAAATTTTTAAATCATCACAGTATAATAACATTGGAGACTGTACTATACTTGTAAGATCATTAACGTACAATATAAAAAGTAAAGGACCTAGGACGGAACATTGGGGTACTCCACTAAGTACTGGTCTCCAGATGGAGCACTTGGAACTTAATCTTACTTTTTGTCTACGATCTACTAGGAAATCTTTAATCCATTTTAAAAGAGGTTCGGCAATACCAAGGTTTGCCAACTTCAATAGCAGTCTATTAGTTGGCACCTTGTCAAAAGCCTTACTGAAATCTATGTGGACAAAATCCACGGAGTTTCCGTTGTCTAGCGCATTAATCCAGAACTTCCTAGCTATAAGGAGGTTCGTTGTACAGGATAGACCTTTTCTAAAACCATGTTGTGCCATGTTCAGCAAGTTATTGGTTTCCATAAATGCCGTTATGGTCCGTTTGATTATTCTTTCCAGTATTTTAATTACAACACTGGCGAGACTTACGGGTCTGTAATTCGATGGAACTTGTCGTGGACCTGTTTTATGTATGGGAGTGACGATTGCGTCCTTCCAGTCCATAGGTAACACACCTTGGTCAAGTGACATTGAATATCATGATCAGTGGTGCCGCGATATATTGTGCAATATGTCTCAAGATTTTGGGGTGTAGTTCATCTGGTCCTGTTGACTTCTCCATGTTTAGGGTGCTAAGAGCCTTAAGCACATCGTTTTGGTCGAAGTCCACGGTGAGCAGGTGGTTTGTTGACTCTGTATTTGGGTCTGGTTCTTTCTCTAGAGGAGGTTCCTGAGTGAAAACTGCCCCAAAATAGTCAGCCATAACCTCTGCTTTTTCTTGATCTTCCTCCATCATTTCAGATTCACTTCCTACTTTAATTAGGTTGGGAATCCTATGATTCATCCCTGTTCTGTAGTTTATGTACGAGAATATTCTCTTGGGCTGCTTGAGTGCAGATTGTGCCAGCTGCATTTCGTATTTTCTTTGAGCTTCCCGAATTTTTTTTATGCACTCGTTTCTTATCGATCTGTAGCGTTCTCAGCCGATGCTGCGGAGTTAATTGCCTGCATATCTGCCTTCCATATGTTAGGACGGGCCGGCGCAATTGTTTGACAAGCAATCTCAGCCATGAATTTGAATAAGATGACTGCATGGTCACTTCTTCCAAGCGGTGCGAGAAAAGCCATTTGACCAACGTCATCACCGTGTGTGAAGACTAAATCTAAAAGAGAAGAAGAGTTTCTTAAGTCGTATCTTGTGGGATCTCTAATGTGTTGGAATAATGCTAGTCCAATCGAGGTTTCTAACAGTTTGCAGTCGAACGACGATATGGATGACCCTACTTCTAAGTTAACCCAGTTTATATATGGTGCATTAAAGTCGCCTACTACAAGACTTACCGTTGTTACACCAGGACTTGAGTTTACTTAGGAGAATATCATCTGCTACACATTCTGGACTGCGATATACTACAACTACTTCAATATCTTGCTGTCGGCATTTCAACTTACATCTTACCAGTTCACATGTCCCTGAAACATGTGCTACTGTCTCAGCTAATCTTATGGTTAGGGTACTTTTCGTGTACAGAATAACCCCGCCTCCCCTTCAGTTTAGTCTATCAGCCCTACTGGTTATGAAACCAGTCAACTGGGTTTCACTATCTAATACTTCTGACGTTAACCAAGTTTCCGAGACAGCAATAATGCCCGGTTTTTCTTTATCCACCACTGACTTGAGCTCCGCCATTTTATCTAGGAGGCTGCGAGCATTTGTGTAGCATATCTTTAAGTTTGTGGAGAGCTTTCCCTTGCCACCCAGAGTGGCTTGGGGATCGTTTTGCTCCGAACTTTTACAATTTGAAAACCCTTAAGAACGAGGTTTCTTTCACCGTTTTGGCGACGCTCATTTATTTCCGATTCTGCAGCTCGTCTCTTAATACGATCAGCTAGGCTGAGATCCTCACGGACATATAACCTAATCACGCGCGCTTTTGAAGGTTGTAACTTTTTTCACGTGGTATTATAAATTATGAAAAAGTGAAAAAGTAATTGATCACATATCAACTGAAGTGCTGAAAAGACTCCAGTGTATGCAGAATGTCATTGTGTATAATATACCTGACAGTGCGAACGTAAAGATTGCTAAAAATACTCTACTACAAGAATGTGGATTGTCGCAATCTTGGTGCGTAACAAGAAGATTGCGTAAAGCACACACTAAAGCCTCTTGTCCCATTCTATTTCAGATTGGTAGTACCACTGAAGCTAATCACCTCCTCAATAGTCAGTCATTACTGAGGCGTATTCCAACATTTAAAAAGATTAGAATCATTCATGACAGGACCGCTATCCAGCGTCGAATCTGCAATGGAACACAAATTGATCAACCCAGCCTACTTAGCCGCGGCAGCTACAGCTCTTGTCACTGCACTAATCCTAAAACACCATACACTGCCCCTCCAAAAAACGGAGGCACGTCAGATGCTGCTATTATTCCTAAGAACAAGGCCGCACATAAAGTAGCTGCAACCGCTCACCATCAGCCCAAACACTCAGTTACCCCAAAATGCCAATCCACTTATACCTCAATAGCGTCCAAGTATTGCCCTAGCGGCCCCGATAAAAAGCATAAAAATAATCCTCCCAGGAATTGCACTAACAGCTACAGACTCTCAGACACCGCTGTACGAAATAATACCAAACTCTCTGTAAGAACCCACCAATTCTCCAGCACCCCTAACCCAAAACATACACCTCATAGCAATAGAATGCCTTACAACAAACATGGTGAACTGGCAATACCCACTCATCCTAATGTGAAAAGACACTCGACAAGAACCACACCCACACGTGATACCCATAGGTCATATTGTGTGAACCTTGTAAGCTCCATGGACCAGCACACAACTATACACAACAGAAACCTCTCTCTTGGCAACAATAACAGGCATCCCTTCATTCCTTACCAGAAACATACAACCCCCCATACTACCCACGACAGGACTAAAATTGCTCACTGCACACAAGGAAGCCATAACGTTGGCCTACTTGGGAACCCACCTACTGATTCTAGGTACTATCTAAGTCAAGCCACCCAATACAACGGTTTAGTCCCCCCTAATTTGACATATACACCATCTGATCCCTTTTCTCTCTATCCCCCTCAACATTACTGCTATGGGGTCTCCAAATGTTGAAGGCGACAATCCCACTATTCTGAGACCGCCTATGTACTCCGATTTAATGGGAAGCGGCACATCCTTCTCAACTTCGATAACTATCTCTAGTCTTAAAAATTCCTTGACTGAACCTCCTGATCACTCCCCGAACACACTACCTAACCACTCAACTCTGCCTTTCACTCTTAGACATACTTATTTCACCAAAACAACACCCGACTACCCTTCTCGCATTAACCTCATTGGTAATAAACTAAACGCTCATTAATATGGAGTCGACGCTCCCAATTCTTCCTTTTCTCATGGGAAAACAGACAATCCACTGGGTTTACATAATACCCTTCTTCTAGACAAACAGTCGCCGTACCTGACACTTATGTTACTCAACGCTCGATCTGTACAAAGTAAGACGACTCACCTACGCACCCTTTTACTTTTAAACAACCCCTCACTTGTTTTGATAACGGAAAGTTGACTGTCCTCCGATACCACAGACACATATCTACAAATAGACACCTATGAGCTCTTCCGCTGTCATCGAGACACCAAGAAGGGTAGTGGTTGTCTTGTTTATGTAACAAAAAAATTGAGAGCGGAATTCTATAGCGACCACGTCCTCAGCAAACTTCCTGAATCGATATGGCTCACTGTGCACACTCATGAATGTAAAATACTGATCGGATGCATATATCGAGCACCTAACACCCCTAGTTTTACTGACACTATTATAAGTGAGTCATTTGCTCAGGCTGTCTTGCTTGACTTCACTTACAAAATTGTATGTGGTGATTTCAACCCTCTTACCATCAACTGGACGACACATTCTGGCCCACTGTGCTTTGAAAGCATACTTAGGTCCTTAGAAATACACGGTTGGCAACAACATGTACACATGCCTACACGAAATCACGACATTCTTGACTTGATATTCTGTCATAATGTCACACCAACATCAATGGTGGTTGGCGAAAAGTTTCACAACAGCGATCATAAGATAGTCCTCTGCACCCTTCCGATTGTTGCCATATGCAACAAATTAAAGACATTAAATACGCGATTCCAGTATAGAGACTATGCAAACGCTGACTGGGAAAACTTTCGATTTCTAATAAAGCACTCTGACTGTAGCAGTTTCTTTACCAGTGATAACCTCTTAGAAACATTAGAAATATTCAATACTACTACCA